CGGCTCGGGCTGTCCTTCCCCCGCATTGCTGCTCTCTGCGCAGGCTGCTTCCCCTCCCTCCCTCCCCTCGCTCCCCTGGGGACCCCGCTTTCCCCTTCTCCCCCCGTGGGGCTGGCCGCCGTGTAGGCGTTTTCCCTCGGCTACCTGGCCGCTCTGCGCTTCTAACCTCATGCTGCTGCTGAAAGGACAGTTCGCAATGTCAGGGCAGCTTTGCTTTCAGTCACAAATTTTGGCTGCGCATCTTGTGACTGCTGGCTGAAAGCTGTAATTTTCTAAATAAATACACATATTTTTGCATTTGCAGGCAAGCGAACCAAAGAAAACGGCTTCTTGTCCTCCGTTTCTGCTCTCGTCTGGGATTTGATTTGCATCATCTCTGAGCACATTTTTTAAAAAAAAAGAAAAGGCGAACCAAACCCACACAAAACATGTTGTGCGGAAGGACTTCCACTCCCTGGCTGTGCTATTAACGTTAGCAATCAGGAAGAGCCTTTGGGGGCTGCAGGATCTCGCTAGTCTGATGCTGCTGCTAAAGGTTTTGGTGCAGGGAGACAAAACTGCTGCCTCTTCCATCCGCTGATCTCCTCACATCTGCATTTCACTGCTGCTGTGCTCCGTCTCACACCCTCTCTCCATGGACTGAATTTTTTTTTCTCCTTTTTGTGGGGGAAGGACAAGCGGAAAATCAAGGCATCGCATTGAGAGGAGCGAAATTGCATTTCTGTCTCGTGTTCTGGTGGATCTGTTTAGAGGTTAATCTTTTTGGAAAAGAAAACATGACGTCGCCAGCAAAATTCAAAAAGGATAAGGAGATCATAGCTGAATATGACACTCAAGTTAAAGGTAGGAACGATTTTATTTTCATCTCTTTTGCTGTTGCAGGCTTGACTTGCAATTGTAGGAGTTTGCAGTAGATGTTTGGGTGGGGAAGGAGGAAATCATTTGCAGATTGCTTGGAATTTGCAGGGCTTTTTCGTAATACAATGCTGAATCGGGTTTGCAATGCTTTTTCGTATCCCCATGGGGAAGGTTCCTACTCTGGTATTGCTGTTTTAAGGTAAGGGCGTTTTTATGGAATATAACGAATCTCTGAGTTCTGAGAGACCCATATTTTTCTGTCTGCTGTTCTGAAATATGGCTTTGCATTTGAAATATGAGAGCCGGTTAATTGCTTTTTAATCCTCCTCCTGTCATGGGAATCTTTTAGAAATCTGTGTCACGTCAGAAGCACATATTTCCACTGCTGGTAATGGGGACCGTGCTGAGGGTCCCTGCAAAGCTGCTTGTGCTAGAAAGTTCCATTATTCGGGATTTAGCTCTCGGTGAGTGCATAATATTGCTGCCTGGTTTTTCTTGCTGTGCTCTGGAGTGTAGCACCTTAAGGTTGCAGTGCCTGTCTGTGTATGCACATATATATGCAGACGTATATAAATGAATAAAACCAATGCATCGCTGTTAGTCCCATCATCATAAGGAAGAATAAAGAGTCAGAGGCGGATTTGCAGTGATTGTGCAAGTCTTCTGCAGAATTCACTTGGCTGGGTTTCACGCTATCATGTGCCCTAGGTGAAAAAACCCCAAAGGGTGGTGAAATGTCTGCTCAGCTTCTCGTTTTTGTGAAGTTTTCAGGATAATGCTGGTTCAAAAGAAATAATTACGGCTTGTGTACATCTTGATATATCGCTGTGAGGAAGTTATGAGATTTAGCGATTTATCTAATCGGTTAAAACTTGCTTGGTATGCTCATAGCATGCAGGAAAGATGGCCTTTGGGCAGGGCTGATTGAGTTAGATCAATGTGATTTAAAAATGTTATTTAAATCTGAGCAGGAAACCTAGATTAAAAGTGATAATTAAAATATTGGTTTGCAATTAGGTACTTGGTTATTTTTCCTACTGGGGGGCTGCTCACTGGTCGCAAATCATTGGAGCACGTTGTCCTACAAGATGCACGTCCTACACTGACCCCGGCACTCTGTGCCTAGAAGTAGTTCTGGCTTTTATGTTAAAAATGCGTACCTGAGCAAATACCAAACTGGGTAGGAGTTTATTTTGATTATTTCTTAAAATTTTTTCAGGTTCTTAAGGCTAGAAATGGAGAAGCGCCCGTTTTTTTTTAACTGGTTTAGTTTCTATTCCTGTTTTCTAGCTGTCTGTGATGGAAATGGGAATTGAAGTCAGTGTGAAATTAGAGGCTTGGATGTTCGTTCATTATTTACCCCATCAAAATGTGCGCGATGGATACAAGGTTGTAGTCACAATATTTGTGGATTGGAAGCAATAACAAGAAACAAGGCTTCACAATTTGTGAAGCGCATCTTCTCACCGCTCAGGATCTTCAGGCGTTAGGAAAGGAAAGAAACCTTTCCCTTCCGTTTCAAAAAAAGAGACCAACGAGATGGGTAAAGTTGAAATGAGCCTCCCCTGCGTGCAGAGAGCGGTACTGCCAAAATTCAGCGTTATCTCTTGAGGTGCTTATGCAGAGACCAGTTCAGCCTGCAGACGTGGTCCCAAAAGTGAGTTGTTGTCATGGCACATAGATGGATTTGCTTTTCGCCTTATAAAATGTTCCTATCTTAAAGAGGTTAAGAAGAGCGGAACTGTGTAAACGGAGCCTGAGGAGCTGGAGAAGGGGGTTTCCTTCCTGAATTGGTGGCGAGGGCAGCCCTGGGCGTGCCTGGGGACGTCCATCCCTTGCGGCTCAGCGTCCCCGGCCGCCAGGGGCTGCAGGGACCTTGGGGTTCACGGGGTGACCTGGGGACGCCTCGCGCTGGACACCTCGAGCAGCCCCAGGGGTGGCTGACGGGAGGTGCTGATCCATCTCCTGCTCTTCCCACAGCTTTTTGAGCCAGACCACTCGGAAATACACATCGGGAGCAATCCCCTCCAGCATCACCTCATTTATTTCAGAGTACAGCACAGAGCTTCCCTTCTCCACCTGGCGTCAACCCTTCATGGGCTGCTTCAACAATGGGGGCTGTCCTTCCTCTGCTTTTAGGTACCAAGTTTGTGGGAGGCTTTGAAGTGATAGGTTCTCTTAAATTATAGTGGCACTTGCTTTACATCTCGTAGACACCTCGGTTCTGAGCTGGGCAGAGATTTGGCTCTGTAGGACGTCTCCTGAGCTCTGGCACTTCTTGCCTCTCTAATTCCAGAGGTGTCCTGGTCCCCACCCCAGTGGGAAGATGAGGTGGTACTAAAGACACACGTAGATCCAAAGGCATGGTGGTTAAATCCAAAACGCACCACGGTTGGTACATAAAATTCTGACTTTAACTGTGGGCATGGCGTAGCCATGGTGTTAACTCTGATAATGGCGTATTTGGGATCTTCTGTGTTGTGAAACGATGCCATGAAGCGGTGGCTGTGGGAGTGAGGTGAACCAGGTGTTGGCATGCTGCAGAAATTGTATCACCTGCTTCTCAGATGAGAAAAGGTTCATATATTTTACTGGCATTCACAAACTTGCTCCATTTTTCCTCTAAGCTCCATTCTGGCTGAGCATTGGAAACTGTGTTTAGAGGCTTCATTTAAAACCATTAATCCACAAACGTGTACTTAAGCACTTTAAATTATTACTAATAGAGTGACTGAGCTTTGTTTAAAAATTTAATAGCCTTAAGTTGCTGATCAAAAACTATTTAAAAGAATAGCTTGGTTATGGTTAACAGATCGCTGTTATGCAGAATTCTGGGTTTTCTGTTGCTGAATGAACTTGGTAATTTTTCTTGTAAGAGGTGTTTAGGGGCGACATGGTGTTGGTGAGTGAAGCTTGCTGTTCTCCCGTGGCTGTGAGCTGCAGGATTTGCTGTCTTTCTCCAACAGCCCATTCTTTGCTGCTTTTGGGTTGCAGTCGGCTGTTCCCGTGGTCTGTGCGTGCAGCTGATGGCAGGGGAGATCAACACGGGGATGAAATGTATTTCTGCAGATGAAGACCATTACGTGTTGCACATCAAACGTGCTGTGCAGTGGTCAGGGGCATGGAGGGGCGATGTGTTTCTGCCCCGTTACTTGTGCAGGGTGGCCGAGGTGAAGCTTTGCAGTTCCTGGAGGTGCTGGAACCCGCCTGGACACGGCCTTGGGTGCCTTGGTCTGATCTTGCGGCTGGGTGAGATGTGCAGTGGTGCCGTGCTCTGGTGTCTGGGGGTTCAGTGACAAACTGGTTTGCTGCAGGGGTGGATGGCCCTTCCAGAAGGGGTGCTTTCCTCCACCCTGTACTGACTTTGCGTCTTTTTCCCTTAGGTGATGCCAGCAAAGCCTGTGCTGTGTTGGGCTCCTGGCTGTGCCGCCCTCGCATGTTGCATTCTGTCGGCGAGGTTTTGGTGTTGATGGGCTCCTCTTGCGAGCGTCGAGAGGTCTCCTCTCTCTGAGCAAGCGGCAGTGGCCCCGTGTCGTGCGGGAGGAGTTGTCCCGACAGGAGGATGTGGGGTCGCAGGGAGGGAAGCGCAGCTTTGGTGGGTTTCTGTGCCATGTGCACACCAAGATGAGGAGCTCTGTGGAGCTGGAGCGGGAGATTCTGGGGTCTCCATATGGAGCCTTTGATATCTCGAGCTCATCCCCTTGTCTGGATTGTCTCTCCCAATTCCTTTGTGCAAGTTGCGGTAAAGCAGAGATAATGAATTTCTGCTGTGCAGTGAGTTTCATGTGAGATTTGGATGCTGCCTATCTATGGACTGAGGAGTGTCAGCCTGTTTTCTGGTTTAATGTATTAAATTGGAGTGTACATTTGCTGGGGAAAGAAAAGCCAGTGATTTATCTCTTAATTCTTCTTTTCTTTCTCCTCGCGTCCCACGAGAGCCTTATATTTAATTAGTTTGTATAAAGCTCCAGTAAATAGCTTCATGGTTTGGGCTACGGAAATTTAATACTGATTTTTTTACACAGCGAGCATTCATAAGCCACTTCTGTCCTTGAGTAGTCTCTAGCAAATGTTAAGATGGATCTCTTGCAGATCTCGCGGCGCGGTCCAAAAAAGCACTCGGAATATGAAAAATAGATGAGGTAGTTTACAGCCGGAGCGAGCACGGCACAGGGCGGCTGCGGGGCTGTTTAGCTGAGTGCATCCTCAACCAAGGCAAGGTGCCTGATGAGAGGAACTCCAGGCAAGCCTCCAGCTGCCGTTGGATTCAGGCTACTACAGTGTCTAAAACTTCCTTTTTGAGCTCCCCAAAACTCCAGATAAGTCCCTTTTGCCTCTCTGGCTGGTAGTGTGTTTGATCCGACTGGTCTTCTGCCTTAAATGCGGCATCTTCTGAGTGATGGTCAGCAGTTTCCAGTGCTGGTCAGCTCAGGAAGGGTGCAGACCTTCTCCGTGTGAAGGTTTACAAACATAGCCGTGACTGGGTCAGCAGCTGCATTTTGGGGGCTGGAAAGGAAGTGTGATGCTTTTGGTGGTAATTTGAAACAAAACTGGGGATTCCTCTCAACTGTCGAAAGTTTTCTCGTTAACGCGTGCAGCGCGTGTCTAGAAAGAAGGCATTTGTAGAATTATCCTTAGGGTTTCAGACGAATGAGCTGAAATCCCTGTGGTTTATCTTGTTTCCAAAGCTGGGCATTCTCAGTGCGAGGTTTGGTAATTTCTCTTTTGCGCCCATCTCTGCGCAGGTCGCAGGTTGGTCCCTGCACGCAGGTACTGGCACCGTGTGTGTGTGCTTTGCAGAGCTGCGCTGAGCTCCTGGCACTTCTTTGCCTTAGCAAAGAGACTTTTCAGCCCGGTGTGGTTGAGTGGAGCGGCTCTGAATGGTGAGACTGGAGTTTGTATATATCGGATTACCATTTACACTGAAAATGTAAAACTACCTTTTAAGGGGTTTTTGCAGTTAATCATTACTCCGTGTGTGTAAG